AAAGACACAGACCTCTGATGGCCCCTTTAAAGAGACAGACCTCTGCTCCGTTTTAACTTCAATTTGAGTCACAACAGGTCACCTTTACGGAGCCCGCGAGGGGACATGGGGGGATTTTTTATCTTTTGCATTCCCACTAGTGCTGTACCAAACGATTATTTTCTAATCGATTAATCTAACGATTATTTTTTCGATTGATCCATTACTCTAACAACAAATCTATAAGTCATTCTGAAGTGAGTGCACTGGAAATTTAAAATGTTTTCATCATATTAACAAGAACAGTTCTTTAATATTGTAATATTTTCTGTAATTGTAATATTATTGTAACTGTAATATTTTCATGAAAAACTCACCACTCTTATGTAAATACGGTCGCAATGATGCTTTTAGGTACCGAAATGGAATTGCATGAACATTCACCTGGTGGTTATGTAATACAGCGAATCGATAATAAAAAAAAAAAATCTGCGTCGACAAATTTACATAATCGAAGTCATCGATTATTTCAACTAATCGGTGCAGCCCTACTTGTGACGTCCACGGCCTACCCCCAGTTACCACTACTGTGCATGTGTGTCAAAGACAGAAAAACAGAAACAGAAGGACAGAAAGGCAGATGTGGCAGTGGAAGTTGTCAAAGCAGTTTGGAGAGAAAAACAAAGTGAACAATAAAAAGAGAAAACAATTAATCGATTATTAAATTAGTCATCGATTTTAATAAACGATTAGTCGTCGATTAATCGATTAATTGGTGCAGCCCTAGTTCCCACGCAATACTTTTGCTTTACCTCGCAATAATTTTGTGTTCCCTCGCAATACTTTTGTGTTCCCACGCAAAACTTTTGCGTTCCCAAGCAATAATTTTGCGTTCCCTCGCAATACTTTTGCGTTACCTCGCAATACTTTTGCGTTACCTCGCAATATCGTTTTGCGTTCCCTCGCAATATCGTTTTGCGTTACCTCGCAATACTTTTGCGTTACCTCGCAATACTTTTGCGTTACCTCGCAATATTGTTTTGCGTTCCCACACAATACTTTTGCATTCCCACGCAATACTTTTGCATTCCCACGCAATACTTTTGCATTCCCACGCAATACTTTTGTGTTCCCTCGCAATACTTTGCGTTACCTCGCAATACCTTTGCATTCCCATGCAATACCTTTGCATTCCCACGCAATACTTTTGCGTTCCCACGCAATACTTTTGTGTTACCTCTCAATATTGTTTTGCGTTCCCACACAATACTTTTGCGTTCCCACGCAATACTTTTGTGTTCCCACGCAATACTTTTGTGTTACCTCTTAATATTGTTTTGCGTTCCCACACAAAAGTTTGATTTGTATAGGAGCTGAATTAAATCAGAATTTTATTTTGAAATATCTGGTTACCCAAACAGGATGTGTTGCCACAAGTTCATGAAATTGACATTGACGTTGCGTGGCTGCACTGTGTTAAAATATCAACATATGACATACTTCCATGTGTGGTTGTGTGATATATTCATTCTGAAGCTGAATTAAAGCAGTAGGCTAACTCACTAATGGTGAACATGTGAGTTAATAAACCGGGAGGCACAACAGTGTTTAACGACTTTTGCGAGGGAACGTAAAAAGAAAAAAATTCCCCGTGTCCCCTCGTGGGCTCAGTACACATTAACCTTAAAGAGACGTTCTCTTTTTCTTAATCAGATAATAAAAAGAATAATCTTCTTTTATTTGATTTATTTTTCTCTTAACTAAGAGTTTTATGCATCTGATAATCATGAGACAAAGTTTATTAAAGTTACAGGAGAAAAGGCTTTTCTCCCTCAGTGTGATTCAGATTTATTATGGATATTTCTGTTGAAATGTCTTATTTAACTAATGTTCATGATGAAACATCAGTGTTTTATTAATCTGAATCATAAATGTCTTTAAGCTGAAATAATTTCGGAACACAAGCGTGGATGCTTATTGAGTTTGTTGGGAGCAGTGATGGTTGTAGAGTCTAACAGCTGATGGGAGGAAGGATCTTCGATAACGCTCCTTTGTGCATTCAGGATGCAGCGGTCTGTCACTGGAGGAGCTCTGTAGATCAGACAGTTCCATGAACTGGGTGGGAGACGTTCTGTTTATGGTGTCATTTTTGTTAAGTAAAATAAACATCTTTCTTTTTGTTCACAAAGAGCTAAAAACTCAGACTTGAGCTGGATTTTTAGAGTCTTAGAACCTGGACGATGTAGAAACACAGACAGAATCGCAGAATTGACCAAACAAACTGGACTCCAGAGTAAAACAGAATCGTCTCATCTGGGTGAGGTTCTGAGGCTCTGAGCTGGGTCTGTAGAAACCAGCCGAGTTTATTTCAGGTTTTTGTTGCTGTGTGCAGAATCAGACAGTTTTTGATCAGACGCTGTAAACAGGCAGCAGCTCTGATGGAGCAGAGGGGAAAATGAGCTTTAATTCAACGTGTGCACATTGTTCCAGTTCTTTATCAGACAGACTTTATTTAGTTCAACTGTAAAGCTTTTTTATTTTACTAAAAGAGAACTTTTTTAGTGTGAGATATGTTTCATATAGAAAATGTTTTTGTTCTTTAAAAAAAGACGTTTAAATACTTTTAAAAACCTTTAATGTTCTGCTGAACCACAGCACTTTGTTCTATAGTGAAAGTGAAAAAACAGTCATTATATTTTGAATTCTGTGGCTTTTTAGTTGTTAAATTATTTGTCTAATTCTACACTTTTTACATTAATAAATACGTTTAGAATGAAAATGTGGAATTAAGGAAAAAAACAATATTTAGACCAGATTTCAGTTTACAATGAGATAAATCAGGTGCCTGTGGAAACTCACTCTGGAGCTATGATGTGGATCAGAATAAGCTCCGCCCAGCTGGCGTAGCGATTAGAAACAGGAAGTCCCATGATATAGGTCACCCCTCTAGGCTGGTAGTGGTTAGTGAGCACCTTCAGAGCGAACAGAACCCCTGCAGACACAATAATTACCGATGTGTCACATGTTCACAGTGTTGTCGTTTTGTGTTTCCAACAGCAAACAAAAACAAACAACGGTTCTGTTTCTGTGAACGAGCCGCAGCATCACGTCTACCTGAGAAGCCCACGGCGCAGGTCAGGTTGTAGGACTGGTCCTGGGCCAGCTGGGCCAGCAGCGCCTCCAGCACCAGGTACAGCAGCCCCGTGAGCAGAGAAAAGACCGACAGCAGGTAGAGGAACCAGGCTCCGCCCAGCCGCCGCTCCAGCCTCGTGCCTTTCCACAGTAACGACACCATGTTGAAGTACAGGTGCCAGTCGTCTACGTGGTGGAACGGCGCCAGCAGGAGGCGGCGCCAGTCGTTCAACCAGTAAACCTGCTGGACGCTCATACACGTCTGAGAGCCGGAGAAATCAAAAACATTTCAGTCCTCTGGTTGGTTCATAAACTGGTGTGAACTGGTTGGTTCATAAACTGGTGTGAAAGCTGGGAGTTACCTTCATCAGGGGAGCAGCTGGGAACAGGAAGAGGAACACATTCAGACCCAGGACCGCCAGAGTGACCGGAGGGATGTGGTCCAGACCCACCTGGAACACCTGGGAGGCCAGGAGCAGCAGGCCCAGGTGGGATCTCCTCTGTCTCTGCATCCTGACAACCTGAACACATTTCATTACGTTACCGTCCAATAACAACCAGACAAACTGCATTTCCTGTCAAAATGCTAGTGCTAGCATTGCTGAAAACCTCAGCTGGAAATGTTTAACAGCAAAACTGTTACATCAAGTTCAATGTGAAAAGTGAAAGAAGCAGAAAAATAGAATAACAGCTGAAAAGAGCAGAAAAAAGCTACAATTAGCATCAAAACAAGCTAAAGGTAGCAGACACAAGTTAGCACCCAGACGATGACAGGGGTATAAAAAAAGTCTAATTAGAAGGAAAAAAAATCATAAAAGTACAAAAAAACCTAACAATTTGTTTTAAAATAGCTAAAGGATTCCATAAAACAGCTAAAATGTAGCTGAAAATTCTTAAATTAGCATAAGAAGCACAGGTTTTCTGAACTAGCCACCAAAATGTCTATTTAGCTCAAAAAAGCTAACTTTAGCTAATAAAAGCTGAACGTTATGTAAAATTGCTGAAAACAGCTGAATATAGCAGAAATAAACTGTAAGAAGCAGAAATAGCTCAAATTAGCAGAAAGAAGCAGAATTATAGCTAAAAAAGCATAAAAAGCTAAAATTAGCCAAAAAATAAAGCTAAAATAAAAAAAACTAAAATTAGCACAAGAAAGTTAAAAAGACAAGAACAATTTTTTAAGGTTCTGTAAAAATTCAGAAACATTTTAAGGATTTTAAGAACGTTGAAAACAGCTCCATTCATTCTCAATGGGAAAAATGTGGCTGAAAAAGTGAAACAGCTAAAAAAGTATAAATAGCTGAAACACCAAAAGTCATAGTTGGAATGTCCTGAAGGAGCTGAATGTTTTGATTTATGAGTTGTTAAAACGGCACAAAAATTGCGGCATGGGTAAAAGCTAGGGCTGTGTATTGGCAAGAATTTGACGATACGATACATATCATGACAGAGGGGTCACGATACGATATATCCCGATATATTTCAATACTGTAAACAAGGTGATATATCGCGATATATTGCGATTTTCGTCCAAAAATTCGATTAAATAAAAACCTCTTACAGGGAAAAAATGAAAAACCAAAATTCATTCTCAGAAAATTCTAATATTACATAGACATACTTTAGATACATTTAGCTGTGTTCTGCTTTGTATGTGTTTGATTTTATTTGTTTCATATTTCTTATTTCATCCATGTTTTCAATTATTAGACTAAATTTGACTATAAATAGTTTGAAAATATATTTTTTGCAGCTTTTAGTTTTTAATATTAATTTACAATATGGTCACCCAACACTTAACAATAGCCTCTACCTCAAGAGGTAGGCTGTGTCCAAAACGACAGGCCGGGTCCTCCGGAGGACCCAGACTCCCTGGTCTCGGCGGGCCGGGTCCTTGGTAGACCGGGAAGACCGAAAAAAAAGAGGATGTGAATTTGGACGGTCTAGCCTCCCCTCCTTACCCCGGCGTACGTCTTGTCACCTAGCAACTGTGACGACGCTAAACAAGCAAACTTAAATCAAAATTAGAAAAATATCAATACATTAGCATTATTAATATCACAAAACTATAAAATTAACTTAAAAGTATAATTTGAAGAACTAATTGACCCGCTGTAGGTTCATGTTTATTTTGTGTTTTTAATGACAAAAAAATAATATTTAAAAACATGTCCATACAAATGATAAAAGTATTAGAATTACAACCGCTAATTTATTTTTATTTTTATATCACCATATTTTTATTTAAAATGTATTCTTTTCTCTCGCTTCGTCCGCCATTACTAGAATAAAAAAATCTCCTGTCGGACCRMAATGCATTATGGGATATGCTGGGCCGGGAAGGATCCATCGGACCTGTCCTTCGATTCGGGCCAAAGGAAGGACGTATTTGTCGGACGCATTGGAGGAGTCTTCGGTTTTGGACGTCCTTCGTCGCGGCGCTGTGACGTATGAGGCCGACAAATTCGACCTTCGGAGGACCCGGCCTGCTGTTTTGGACACAGCCGTAGAGGAGCCAAATGTCTGGCTCACTGCTGCCAACTAGTGTTCAGAAGCTGAACTACAACATAAAAATGAACAGCTGGCAGGAAAGTTGACATTTTAAACCTTAATAAAAAATCGATACAGGGCTTTAGAACATCGATACAGTATCGGGAAATGAAATATCGCGATATTTCAGTGCATCGATATTTTCTTGCACCTAAAAGCACCCCCCCAAAAAAATAACTGATTGTGAAGCGTTCACACAGTAACACTACTACTACTACTACTACTACTACTACTACTACTACTACTACTACTACTACTACTACTACTACTAATAATAATAATAATAATAATAAAAATAAAATAATAATAGTGTTCAATCCACATCTCAGTTTGACAGGAAGCAGAGGCAGGTTTGTTTGTTTTGATGCACGGTGTCTGAAAAGCTGCAGTAAAGAGGAGCTTGAAGGGTCACAGGAGGGGGTGGGGACCCCCAGGAGGTCTGACAGACAGGTCTGTGTAGAAAACTGAGCAACAAACGAGAAGATGTGCAGAGAACCTGTTTAATAATAACACAGACTCAGCAGGTGCAGCTTGCACCGCGTTGCAACACAACAATGAATCAGTCGTCTGTAAAGATGAAGAGTCTGATGTAAACCTGCTGAGCTCCTCCTGCTCATCATCAAATAAGAGTCAACTGTGATGGAAAACTTCATTAAAATGATCAAAACTCCAACTGCACTGAAGAAACTGATTATTTACTTTAGTAAACCCCTGATCAACAATAAGTTTATTAGTGTTTTCACAACTCTGTCTGCCTCGAAGATGGAAAACAACATTATTTTTGTTATTTACTGTCATATTCCTTCCAAACATCCTGCTCCACGTCTAAAATGTTTCTTAGACTTGTTCTAAAAATAAAACAGGTTAATATTAAAACAGAAACTGAATTTAATGAAAGTCTTCCTCCATAAAAAGCATCTAAATCCAGAAATGAAAACATGCAACCTTTAACCTTTTTTTATGTACGATGGTTTAATAATTAATTTAAAGGTCAAGGTGCGGCTTTAATTTAATCACAAATACGTTCAACATGTTTTATTTACTCATTAACAACAAACAATTTATAATCAGACCTTCCAGATCCTGTCAACAGCTTCAACTTCAAACACAAACAGGTGAGATTTATATTAGCGTTTCTGACAGAGTTGTAACGTAACTAGAGGTGTAAGAAATTATCAATACACTGAAATATCGCGATATTTCATTTCCCGATACTGTATCGATATTCTAAAGCCCTGTATCGATTTTTAATTAAGGTTTAAAATGTCAACTTTCCTGCCAGCCGCTCATTTTTATGTTGTAGTTCAGCCTCTGACCACTAGTTGGCAGCAGTGAGCCAGACATTTGGCTCCTCTACCTCGTGCTCCAGAGAGTAAGGG